CCCCCCCCCCCCCCCCCCCCCCCCTCTCCCCGTTTCCTTTTTCAGGGGCTCATTTCCGCCTAAGGTTTTCATCGGCAACTGAAGATGACGTATTTCTGACCTCCTTGTTATAGAAGACTTGTTTTATAACTATTACGTATACGGAAAGAGGTTTTTCATCGTTGCACCTAAGGTCAAGCTAGAGAGCCATTCTTTTAATAGCTATAGTCCTATCAGGGCAGAAAAAAGAAACATTGGCCGTACAGTTAAACCCCGCCTAACGGACACCTCGGTAATACGGTCACCTCGTTATTACGGCCACTTTATTTATCCGCCTAGCGAGACGGCCATACAGTTTTTTGTTAAAAACTCTCGTTAATACGACCAATTTGTTTTGGCCCATTAGTGACCGTAGTAACGGGGTTTCACTGTACTTGCCAGCCTAGTGATAAAAGTCTTAGAAAGGGTTATAGAGTAAGTGCGCGGCGGCCATTTGAAGGAGTAAAACAATTAAACGCTTTTCCTTTGGGAAAAAATTTCACTTTTATGCAAATGATTTTTTGGTGTTTACCCCTCCAACATGGTCGCCTCGTACAGACTCTATACACTTCTGTCTGACTTACTTACGTCAGTGGCAATTTAACAGTTCAAGGTACTCATTGATAAACAAAGCGAAGAAAATATGCCTTTTGAGTTACAGCTTCTCGTTAGAGATGTTTTACTGGAACAATTTAGGTTTCTGCGAAACTGCCCACCTACCCCTCCCTAACCCAACATTTTGTCCCAAGTGAGACGCAAATGTTAACGTTGAGTTAGGGGAGGAGTAGGAGGACAGTTTCCCAGAAAACTAAATAGATCCGTTTTATGACCCAATACTTATTTTTTTGATCTCGATTAGTACCTGTCATGTATCAGTGACTGTATCCGTGCATCAATGGTGCTGTTACTTTTGTATGATAACAGGTTAGTGGTTTCTTTTTTCCAGTATTTGTTGAGCATAGGAAAATTTTCCAGAGGGAAGGAAAAAGGTACCGCCGTCTGAAAACAAACAAAAATTTATACTTTTTGCAAATGCTTTTAACAGACAAATTGGTTTCTTTTATCTCCGTATATCAATAATTAAAGTCAAGTGCAGAGTAAAGATTGTTGTTTAGCTCTGTCTACAGTGCCTCTCAATTCAGAGTGAAACTACGCGGAAATCGACTCGACCGGCCTCATGATCACTAATGTGTCGCGAGCGGAGAAAACTATAGCATTTACTTAGTCAAAGGTAAGAATATGATCCAAAGTATAATATACTCTTTATAAAGGAGAAAGCACAAACAAGCGGTATTTTAGCTAATATATTCTAGTTAGAGGCTGAGAATAATTATGTATGTGCGTACAAGAGTGGTGTTGGCCCGTCTATACCTTTAAAAACTGTCGTAAATTATTAGCGAACACGTCTCTCTTTCTGAGGGGAGGAGGCGGCTATACACAGGCTGACGCAGATTACAAGGACGAATTAGGCAAGACGCTCAAACTATAAAACAAGGCGTGCCACAGGGTTCTGTTTTAGGACCTGTTTTGTTCCTGCTTTCCACTACGGCAATCGAGATCTACTGTTGATATTTTCGCGGACGATGCAACATTAACAGCTACTGCGCGCTTTTCGGATATTTAATCTCTGACCCAGTACCTAAATAAAACCCTTTGCAAAAACGGTTCGGTGTCACTCTTGACTGGAATATGACTTAAGACTCAAATATTAACGAACTTTGCAAAAAGAAATATCTAAACACCTAGCTCTCCCTAAGAACGTGATTCCCTAGGTACGAAGGAAAGAAAGAGAAACTTATAACGAAGTTATCAAACCTATTTTAATGTACGGGACGGGGTATCGTTTGGGACAGCTGCTTAGCGGAATCCTGTCACATGATGACCACGGGGTTCTCAAGCTTCAATAACCTGAAATGGCTGCCTGTTACTGAAGCAGTCTTTTAATAAAACAAACTCTTTAGTTTATAAAAGCTTCGATAGTATTTTAATACCTCGATTTACATACATGATTTATCAATCAAGAATTCGGACATCCAAAGACATGCAGTACTCGTAATTTCGATCTAAATTTGGGAGGGCGAACCTTTAAGGACAGAAAAGTTACAAGGTTGATCACAAGTCATTATCTACAATTTCCTGTTCAAAAGTGAGCTGTAAATTATTGTGATCTGTAGTCAATGTTCTTCGGTGCATCACCAGCGTCAAATCGGCAGCCATCTCTTTTCCTTTTAGATTTTTTTGGCTTCGCCCCACTTTCTTCCTTGCGAAACAACATTGATTCAAGGCTTGTTTAAACTCGGGAATTCGTAATGCGTATACGACAGGATTAATAAAGGAGCTGGAAAAATACATAAAAAAAGATACAAGGAAAATGTTGTCAGACATTTTGTATTCAAAAAAGTCTGCCAAGGTGTAAGCGACTGAAGGCAGCCAAGAACTCAAAGCCATAACAGAAACAAACATCAATGCCTTTGTTAAGCGCTGGTTTTGCAAGGCTCTGTTTTGCAAATGAGGAACAGTTTTTTGTTGAAATTTTCTCCAAATACCGATGTTCAGGCCGCAGATGATCAGAACAATAGACAAGCCGTACAAACATAGTCCAAAAAATAAACCCACTACGCTTACGAAGTGCAGGAGAAAAACTGTAAAAATAGAACCAAGGATACTCAAAATCCACGGCGTCAAAATAACAAGCCTGTACGTTCGCGCAGAAAGTGTGCGGTGCTTCAGCGGCCAATAGATGGCGTAAAATCTCTCAGCAGATATCAAAGCAGCGGTAATAAACGAGACTTGGGCAAAAACTACAATAATGATCTTGAGAAAAAACGGAGATCTTTCTATCGTCAATTGGTGGTGAGTCTCAATGATAAAAACAGATACAGGAAGACACACACTACCCAACGCTAGATCCGCAAACGCCATATTTATAACAAGATATAAACTTTTCTTAACGCGAATCTTCTTGATAAATGCAAAGATAGCAATTGTGAGCAAGTTTCCCAAAGTAATGAAAGCAGCTTCCCAAGTAAGAGCACAACTCCAAGCGATGACTTGTGCCTTAGAAAGGGCTTCTTCTGTTTGCAAAGGGGACTCAACGTGTGAAACTGTAATAGCTGATGTATTTTTCATTCTTTTTCTTTTTGCGGTTGTTGTTTTCACGTTACGTCAACGTATAGCGTGGATTACCAGAAGGAGAGAAATGACATGACCTCAGAGTTGAATGTTCTTATCCTGAAAATTTTGCTGATTTTTCGTCGATGCCAAAATCCATTATTTTTGACTGCCAGCCCTTAAAATGGCCCAAGTTTCCACATAATATAAAATTGGCTTATCTGTGCACACAGTCTATTTGCTTAGTACTGTCACCCGCAAATCACACCTGTTTCATCCACACAGGGCTTACGAAAAGCTATAAAAAATTACTCACCATTAAAACTATAAAGAAAAACAACTGACCTGAAAGCTGTTAACATTGGAGGAAGTACAGTCGAAATATACAGCAAAAGCAAATTAATCAAGAGTGACGTCATGATATGAGTTTCGATTCAAAGAAACTTATCGCCCACGAAGCAACCTTTTCATTTCAACCAAACCTTAAATGTAAGTTACGTCATGCAGTTTAAACTTAAACAAAGCAGCCGGGAAACAAAAGGAGAGGTCACTTTTCAAAAACCTTCACATAAGAACAAAGAAATCGGAAACGCTTAATTTCTTCAACAAATGTAAATACGGTATACTTTGGAAACTCTCTCACTATACTATGAAGTGGTGAAATGTTACATTAGAAGAAACAATGAAGTGGGGAAAAGCTGGGATCGCTTACGAAAATTTTTATCAGCTGCAATATAAACAAGCATTTTGGCTTGTTGGTTTTATATTTTGGCAGATAAGATCTCTTGCGCAACCTCTTCTTGCTAAACTGAACTGACGCGTTCTGACAAGAACGAAACAGCTGTCTACGGCAGCCATCTTGCCGCCTGAGTTCTATGCAAAGTTAATTTTCTTACTTAGCATCATTGCTTCTTTGTTTTGTTATGTTGGATGGAACTAGTAGCAGGCGAAGTCTGATCACTTCTGGAAACTACTGAAAAAATACCTAAAACTCTCTTTCCTTTCCTTTAGTCGGACCAGTTTATTGCCAGATGGTTATATTGGTAAGGAACTGAAGAATGAACAATGGGCCATATTTCTATTAAATCCTTACTGGCGAAAATCATAGTTTAGACTACAATTCTTATTCAAAGCTGGTGAGTGTTGAAAGCTATTAATATTGCAGCAAATACAAATTTTTAACACAGTTGAGAAATACAGCAAGAGTAATCAATTCAACCCATGAGGGAAACTTTTAATTTTAACTAAACTGCAGTTTAAACTTAAGTAGCAGCGTAAGAAAAAGAGAGGTCACTTTTAGGAATGTTTCCTGTTGGTACAAAGAAAAAAATAAACCTTATAACTTTAACAAATGTAAATACAGTTTGGAAACACCTTCATTATACTAAGAAGATACAGAAAGTAAGCTCAGAAGTAACAATGAAATCAGAAAGGGACCGCTAACGAAATTTCTAATCATCTAGACTATACTGATGTATGGCATTTATGCTTGTAATTTGTACATTTTACCAGCTCAGATCTCTGCAACATGCAGCGTCTGGTTACACTAAACGAGTTCAAATGAGAACAAAACAGCTGTGTACAGCTGCCACCCCGCTCGGCTGAGATTTATCGTATGAAATGTTGATGAAGCTCTACACTGGGCCCGCGCAGGGGGAGGGGCTGGGGAACAACACTTTTTGAAAAATAAAGAAATAAAATTAAGTACAGTGGAACCTCGATATAACGAAGGGCCAAGAGACTGGCAAAATATCCTCGTTAGAACGAGGTGCGTTAAATTATATCAAGGTGTTTTTTTTTTTCATATTGCCTTATACTCTACTACTACTGGAGTTAAAAAAAGTAGTTCGTTAGACTGAGGACTTCGTTACATAGAGGTTCCACTGTAATATACATTACGTGTTAATGATATATGAAATAAATCATATATGAACTGCGGAAATGAAATGAAAATGAAGAAATGATCGTCGCAGTGAACGCAATTTATGCAATTGCTTAAAGAAGCCTGAAAAAAAAAATTCAGGACTTCAACGGGGTTTGAACCCGTGACCTCGCGATTACCGGTGCGATGCTCTACCAACTGACCTATGAAGCCACTGACCCACAATTGACGTGCTCCCAACGTCAGTGGCTTCATAGCTCAGTTGGTAGAGCATCGCACCGGTAATCGCGAGGTCAAGGGTTCAAACCCCGTTGAAGTCCTGAATCTTTTTCAGGCTTCTTTACGTAATTGCATAAATTGCGTTCACTTTCATTTTTCGTAAAATACATTACTTTCATATAAATAGTATCTTTGTTGGAATAAGAATCTTTCAGCATCTATATTTATCATTGTCCGTTTCGATCCCAGATCTGATGCGTAGTAAGCTTCAAAACGCCTGTCTTTATGAAACTGCACTTAGTCCTAGACTTCTGCGATTTCAAACAGCAAGGCTGTAGCAGACTGCTGGCAACGATGCGGAATGGAGTCTTTTTTATTAAGGTTCTCGATTAAATCGGCAGACCATAGCCACTCCACGGAACTACTTGCGCCAGCAAGTAACGGATGGTTTCGCGTAAATTCTGTTGACAACCGGTGAGGGTAAGAGGCGGAATGAGGTTGCGGAATGGCATGTGGTATGGCTTGCGGAATTACATAATTATGTGAAAACAGGAGCCGAATCTGCTCCTGGTGGAATGTAATTTATGCAGAATGACCTAAAGAAATAAATTAAACTGAAAAGTGCGTCCTTTTTTGGCGCCAATCAATTTGCAAACGCAGCCGCTGTTTTAATATTGACAAACGATGACAATCAAAAAACCACGAAGGCTCATTGTCGATTAGCCTTTTCCGCCCAGCCGCAAAGATTCTTCTTGCCTTTATTAGTCGGGCTGCATGGCAGAACCGATACTACAGCACCAAAGTCGACCATTGAAGAAAAGATGTTTTGGAAGGTCACGCTCCCTTCTACTTAATTAATTTTTTCTGCAAAAGATGTTTGCACGATTAACTTTACAATCCTTTTACCTATATTTGTATTTGAAACCGCGTGAGAAGTGTTTCTTTTTCAGACGCACACACTCACACAAACAAGCGAAGGTGCGAAGACACGCGGAAAGGCCGAAAGGAGACAGAGAGCAGTTCGCTTCACTCGATTTCTGGATTACAGATTCATGTTTGACTCGGGGCGTTTATTTAGTCTCAAATATGATCTGATCCGTCCACCGTATTAATTAATAATCCCTAGAATTGTTGCTAACCCGACCTCACGTTCAACAAGCGTTCTTTTCCCTCTAGCGTTTTGATATCTAAAATAAATACAAAGGATGGGCAGAAAGAGAGAAAGTATTGTCGAAAGCAACAAAAATAAATTAAGTATCAATTAAGTATTACATAGACACAAATGCAGTAAAGCTTATCGCTACTTTCTGCTCTGTCTTGTTGGTCTAAGCCAGAAGTAATAAATGGACCAGCAAAAAAGTTGCTCACTCAAATTGGCGTCAAAAAAAAGGCGCGGCAAAGACGCGCACATGTTTTTCAGTTTAATTTGTTTCTTTGCGCCATTTTCCATATTTTACATTCCGCATAATTATGTCATTCTGCAAGCCGTGCCAAATGCCATTCCGCAAACTCAATCCGCCTTTTACCCTCACCGATTATTTTTAACAACCTTGCGTCATTTTTTGCAAACTAATTTGTTAGTTACAAAGTTGCGTCTGCTTCGTCGTTTTAACTTTGGATCTCACTTACTTACTTCAATATTCGATGGACTTTTCCGAAATCGTTTAATAGTTTTTGCTTTTCGGGATCATTATTTGCAGACAAATTTTTGCCAAAGAATTCAATCAACGACAGATATGCCGCGCTGTTCATGTGATCGTACATTCTCATTCCCAGAGCCCGTCGTTTCTTGGCCAAATCAAGCCGAGTGGCTCTGGGGACGTGAATGCTGTTCGAGTACGAAACAGCTGTCCCAGCTATCCACAGTTCAGCCTCGTCCCCAAGGTCCTATCTCTTCCTTCCTCAAAAGACGCTGAGTTGTCGAGCAGAGCTAAATTTTTTACGTAGCTTCAGCCTAGCTGCTTTGCTTACTGCATTAAAGCTACGGTAACACGGGCAAAGAACGTGCATCTTGTTTGGCAACATTGCTGCCAAACGAGCTTAAAAGCGATGTTGCACGTTATACTACCCACATTCACATCAGGTTTTTGCAAATTGCGACTAGTTGTTCCAGGAAGAAAGAATTCTGCTACAAAATAAGTACAGTCATGTTACACGTTTTACCAGCCCAAGGCAAACTTGTTTTGTAGCAGGTGACGCAACTCCACACCAGTGTATGGCGTGACTCCCGCGTAATTTTCTCCAATCAGACGTCGGTATTTACGCAAC